TCAAAGGGACTTGAGGGAATCAATTTGTGCAACATGCCTTGTTTAGCAGATAAGCAATCAACGGTCTGGACAAGCTGAACAACTGCCCTAATGGCAAAGAGCAAACTGCCAGTGGCCCAGGCAGGAGTCCCGTTTCCTAGTCAAGGTCTCTAAATTTTTAGCAAGTGCTTAGTGTCCCAAGGCTTCAAAAGGCACACAGGACTTCCTGACAGTGACAAGTAACACAAAAGAAGGTGCATTCTCCTTATGATTACCTAATTTCACATCGATAACATAATTCATATACTATTTTTAGTCTCGCTTTTCCAATTAATATCGGGGCATAAGGCCTTATTATAAAACATAATTTTAAATACTCCTCAGCAAGAGAAATCTTTTCTTAAAAAATTATCTACTGACTTGAAAAATCAAATGCAAAGCGAGTTGGGTTTTTTTGGGGTTTTTTTTCCCGTTTTGTTTGTTTTTAGTAGATCCACTTGGTTCAATTGGTCTTCCTCAAGTAAATACACAAAAGAAAACCTTATTTTAACCCAGTCATGACAAAACAACTCATATAGTATATTCTTTAACATTGCCAAATGTTTTCAAGGTCTTAAAGCCTTTTTTTGGTAATTATTCATCACAAATATTCGTTTGAGAATAGCTTCGTTTTACCAAGGCTTCCTCCCCTTCTGTTACTATTCAAACACATGTGGGAACAAAGTCAGGGAGCCCTGTTCTATTCATCCCAACCTTAGATGTAGAAGAAGAGTGAGCCCCTTGCATTTTGAACTCCTGATAACATTTTCAAAGTTCTGCAAGCAATTAAAAGAAGAGTGGATCTCAAAGTCCATGCCCAGACTAATTTTTCCACAGAGAGCTATAACCAGCAATCCCCAGCAAATAAAAGGGGAGCCTTTAACTGGCCGAATTCTGTTGGAATAGCTGTTTGCTGTGGCTTGTTATGCATTGAGAATACAGAAGCCCAACTCTACTAATCTTTCACCTCATCACGACCTTTGTTAGTCTTAAAAACTTGAGTTTTACAGCTCCAAGTTTAGTTTATCTGAGACACAAAGACCCAATATAAAACATATAAGTAATATTTTTAAGCACCACAAGATAGAATAGTCCATTAACTGATGAAATACCTGCAACACAGGAATGGGGTATACTGGTGTAATATGAATCCAAGATCTAACCTACACTTTCTCACTTGCAAGATGAGAATGATAAGCATGACTGGTGTTGGAACTGTTTCCTTGACTATTAATTGGAGAGTACACCTAAAACAATACATGGAAATTTATTATATTTATAAATATAATAAACCTATGGATTCCTAGGAAAGATCAACTTTTAGACCTAAGTTATTCTTGAGCAATGACATTAATACTGACTCTAAGAGACAGTAACAGTCCTAAGGTTTTTCCAACAAGACAAGCAGCATTATCATAGTATTGAACAGAGTTCTTCTTCACTCCAAGAAATAAAATTAACCAGCTAATTTATAATAATTTGGTATTCTTTCAGTACTCTATTATAATTTAGGTTTCTATCTATCATAGCCCTGGAGGAATTCAATTAATTTTCATACACTTCTCTTAGATTAGAAGTGCACTCTTATTAGTGTTGCATTAGCAGATGCAAATCATTGTCCAGATAAGGCAGGGGACTGAAAATTAAATAAATAAATGTGTGTGACTTGGAGAAGATCACCCCAAAACGATGCATGCTCTTTGTAGATCCAGCCTCCAACCTCCCAGCGGAAACCTCACAATCAGTAGCTACTGAGAAGCATTTCACGGCTCCCACTCGGAAAGCCAGTCTGTGACGCTCCCTTCCCGCTGCCCCCCAACAGGCCAGGGTTGGTTGAAAACTTTTTCAGAATATGGTGCGTTGAAAACTAAGGCCTCGTCGACTTAAAACCACGCTGCTTTGTAACTTCCGCTTCCAATCTAGGGTTCATATTTTTAGAAGGGCAAGCCACCGCCCTTTCGAAAATCTTTTTTCATTCATCTTTCCACACAGCCTGTTATGTTGGGTTGCATGAATATAGGCCACATTAGATCTGAGAGCTTCTAGAGAACAAAGCCCTCTCTCACTTCTCCACGTTGCAAAGGACATGGAGAGAGAACTTACATGGAATGTCATTTTGCCCAAGTGGGTTAAGGGATTTGCGGGAGGATGCTTTCATTTCAGGCGCAACCTCCTTAGAGAAAAGGGTCCAAACAGAAGAGGCGCCTCAGCATTCTTTCAGGATGCAAACATTAGCCTAATAATGACCTCTACCAACTGCTGAAATGTTGTTTTTCATTCTCTTCTTTTCAAAATGTCAAGTCCCAAATTCATAAAGCATTTGGTGATACAGTTTTGATCCCAGGTGCCTCGTAGTTTTCAGGCAGAAGTTTTGTATTTTTATTTCTGGGAAGTGCAATCATTATGCAGTAGCAACCCATTCACCCTAAACATTAATAGTAACTTATTATTCAAGCTTGAGCAGTAGGTCTGAAAACGGTTCCCTACCTCATCACTCAATGTTGGACAGGCGTGGTTCCCTGACTTTAGATCTGAGTCCCGTGTCCATCAGCCCCTGTCCTCAGCACCATCGTTCAAACACATCTGTGATGCTTGATGAAGATGACATGGCCGTGTCCAGTTGATGTGTTTTCTGAGTCATTAACCCGGATTTCTCCAGTTTGAATTTTGGAAAAAAGTTTTGTGTAATGTTCACAGCTGAGTGAGGGCCATAGCCAAACACCTTTTTATGTGTTTTTAAACGTTACTAACTGCTAAATTAAAATTTAGAAAGTGGGCTTTTCTTGTGTTATAGATTTATTATTGTCTCAGAAACAAATATTGTGGACATGTAGATGTGTTGCTTCCCAGTAGCTGTAACCTGAGGACTTTATTTAAACTGTCCTTTGAATCTACAATAATTTCGTGTCGGGAAGGAATAGGATCTTTATCAACAAAGGGCTGCCAGGATCCCAACTGTTTCTTGAGTGGCTGTAATAGATGAATAATGTTACAACCAACTGAGCAAAAGCCTGTTTGCTCAAAAGGCTTTTCACTGATGCCGGTGGTATTCTACATCCATGTGTTCCTCTCGAAGCTCAGTAGTTTCCATCTGACTTTCATTACTTTTCTTGAGAGGATCAGTTTTACAACTGGAGTCAGAAAATCACTCAAAGTAATTGAAAGTGGCAATCAGTGAAATATAATAATTTTAGCTTGGGAACAGCATATGTTTCCTTATAAAAAAATATTTTTTCCACAAACCCAAGACCCATGTTTTCCCAGAGCAAAAAAAGGAACCATGTGCACGTTCTAACACTGCCTCCCATGTCACGGTGATATCACTGGAAAGTCCTCGTCCCCCTCCAGGAGTGGCAACTTGTTACCTCCCGAGGAAATCTATTCCCTTTTTGATTCTATTTAAAATTCTTTATTATATTGGAGATAAACTCCACATCTCTGCAGTTATATCCTTCAGAGTTGAAAAACGTGGGTTTCAACAGAATAAACCTGAACCTCTCTTCAGATACACATGGGCAGATCTTACCCCCAACCCTTACCTTTTTCTTTGCCAAGTTGTACTATATATTCCTTTCTTATATGGAATAGATTTCATCTTCTTAATCACTCTGGCCACTCTCCCTGGAAGAAGCGCAGACTTGCCCATATTTCTCTTAAAGGCATTATTCTGAGGGAAAATTAGACTTTCAATCAGAATATCTGCATTAAGTTATAGCTCTGCTACTTATTAAATGTTGGAACTGGAAAAAATTATTTACTCTTTTTGTCATTAGGAATAGCACAGTTGAATAAAAGAGACATGATCTGGAGGTCAAAATGGGCAATAAACAAGCCAACAAACAAATATGTAGTTATAGTTTGTAATATATAATGTATTACAATTGCCAAGGGAGTCAGAATTGCCAAGGGAGTCCTGTGGTCCCAAGGTGCAAAGGGCAGGCCTTCTGAGATGGAGGCGAACATTTTACAATGGGAAGGAGACAGGGTGTGTTCCAGGATGTGGGATGGCACTACAGTAAGAGAGCATTGTTTTCTCAAATGAAGCAGAGTCTAGAGTTTAGAAGCTTAGAAGGTGAAGGGAATGAGATTAGTCTGGAGAAGGGCAGAGCCTTGTAGCCATTGTTGAGCATGTGAATTTTATTTGAAGTGTACAGGGAAGCCATGGTTGGGTTTGCAGAAGAGATGTTACATTGTCTGAATTATGCCTTTAAAAATTGCTCTCATGCTAGATGGAGAACAGACTGCAAAGGATAAAAGTAGAAGTGGGACAACCAATTAGGAGGCAACTGTCATAATCCAAAGAGAGGTTCATGTGATACAACAACCCCATGAGGTTTAAACGAGAAGCAATACTCTGCAGAGGTTAGGACAAAGTCATAGCAGACTGCCTATCTATAATTAAACCAGACTCCACCAACTCCAGCAAGTTTTCAAACGCTGTGCATCTCAGTTTAATCTTCTGTGAAAGGAAGATCATCACAGGACTCACTTTATAGAGTTGTTGTGAGGATTAAATGAGTTCCCTGTTTGTGAAATCTGCAGTGAATTTTTCACCATTACGACATGCTGTATCACATTTTTCAGTCCCAGGCATTATTTTATTTAGTTTTTGTCTGGGAAAGAGGAAGAGAATGAGTGAGGAATGTGACCAGATAATTGTTTATTCTCCTTTACAAGCTCTATTTTACTAATGCAATGGAAAAGGACAATATGAGAGAAGGCATTCTGTGGACACTCAGTTGTGTTGTTCTTTCTTTGGTAGTCCACCTTGTCATTTTATAAAGACCTAACAACTCAAACATTGCATTTATTTAACTCTATTAGACCTGTTCTGAATCTTGCTTAGAACCCAAATTCTAATACATCACTGTGAGTCCTCTAGAGTAGTGTGGAACAGCAATGGACAATGCCATTAGGCTGTCTCCCAGGTTATTTCCTCTTGTGATACGCTCACTTAGTTGAATAACATTCCTCCTTTGCAGGCATCCCAGGAAGTGACTATGTGAATGCCAACTACATAGATGGTTACAGGAAGCAAAACGCCTACATTGCAACACAGGGATCTCTCCCTGAAACATTCGGGGACTTTTGGAGAATGATATGGGAGCAACGGAGTGCCACAGTTGTCATGATGACAAAACTAGAAGAACGATCCAGGGTAAGAATAAATATCTGCCTCTTCCCTCTGAAAAATCTTCCCTTAGATACTCCCAGTGTTGCATATTTTATTCTGTTCAGAATCTAACCTTAAGCTCTGACCTTCTGATTGACATTATTGTGAATGGTCATCAACAACTCTGATCCAACCATTCCTCAATACTTCTGAGTCTTTCAAAAGTGAAATTCTTTCATGTTACAATGTGTGTGATCCCTAAAACAAACAAAAAATTATTACTCAAAGAAGTAGATAACTTGGTTAGAGAAAATAGTTATTAGCTTGCACTAACTCTTTCAAAAACATTTATCGAACACACAGACTTTGGGGGAGAATTTCACCAATATCTACTTCCCAGTATTTTTAACTTTTCGTTTCCCACAATCTGAAGCATAAGATCTAAAATCATGTGACACAGGCTCTTATTTAAATTATTCAAATTGTGTAAATTAACTCAGGGAAGCCAGAAAAATAAACGTGTAGAGGGTATTTTGCTAGTTTAGCCTTCTCCAAAATGAGTAGATTTTAATATTATAGTCATTGCTTATTAAGGTCCAAGGAAGGAGTTGCAGGCATCATATGGATCTAATATTATGGTACATGGCACGTTAGTTAAATGCTGCTGATTTGCGAAACCAAAACATAATGGGTAAGCCATATTCCCAGGAAAATAAGCAGATATTGTAGCCAACGGATGGAAGTCAATATTGTTTTTTTTGAAAGTCAATCTTTAAATCTTGAGAATTTAATGAAGAAGTCTCTGAAAAATCGCTGAAGAGGACAGTACCTCTCGCTGAAGAGTGGGGCATGCGGGGGAGAGTTTGAAACCACCACTGAGAGGTCTCTCAGAGTGGTCACAGCAGCTCACAGTGGATATGCAGAAGGAAGCCAAGCCCCACCTCCCCATTTGCTGTGTGATAGCTGAGGCTTTCCAAATGGTCCAAGCGCAGTTCATGGCAGCTTCTCTCAGCCTCGGTCTGTATGTGACGGAAGAGGTGAAAGCTGCCAAGAGGATTTCTAAGGAAAAAGCTCAGACTTAGGAAAATACAAAAAGTCCCAGCTGTTACCTTACAGATAAGGAGTGGAGCAATAAAAAGAGATGTTTCACAACTGGTTTTGCAAAACTAAAAAAAAAAATTTAAAAAAAAATCAGATCTTTTTAAAACATGTGGATTCTATAGACATATTGAAATATTGTCTGAAATGAATTTAGATAAAAAATTGTTATGACTCTGAAGACAAGTACCTTTACATGCTAACGCCAAAAGATATAAATGGACCTATTATTGATTTGTACTTAGGGTACCCCTTATACAGCAAGCCCTTTCTTTAACAACAACCCCCTACCCCAGTGGTCGGCAAACTGCGGCTCGTGAGCCACATGCGCTCTTTGGCCCCTTGAGTGTGGCCAGGAAGTTTCAATCGCACTGTACTTGCGCGCCCACACGTGGTATTTTGTAGAAGAGCCACACTCAAGGGGCTGCAGTTTGCCAACCACTGCCCTACCCAAATGATTCTTGAATATACCTGTTAATAATTATAACAGTGCTAACACATATTAGGTATATTGCTATTTCTCAACCACCCTCTGAGATATATACTACCACGATCTCCACTTTATATAGGAGTAAACTCTGGCTAGAACATTCCAGAAGGTCACCCAAGGTCATTTAGCTACCAGGGCAGTATTAGGAATTGAAGACACAGTCTGAATCCAGAACACACGTGCTTTACCATTGGTCCATGCTGCCTGGTAACACTTCTGTGAAGCTGAGACAGCTAAACGCTTCCACTTTGGCATGCATGTAAATCCAACCTACCCGGACCACTCTGCTGGGAGAGACCGGCTTGTAACAAGCAGTCATTTGCAAAAGCTGTTTTCAGTAAAACACACATTTTATCTTGACACTGCAGGCCTTCATTAAACTATGCACAGAAACTTGTTTTGAAATAACCAAATGAAATTCTTCCCCTTTTCTCCCTAATTGCTTCTAATAATAAAGTTAGTTCTCACTGGCCCCTCTGCCACCGCGGCATCTGATGGTAATGAGCAGTTCTTGACGGAAGGCATTGTGACTTCAATACCTGCGGTTTATCTTTATGTTGCAGGCTACTCCCCCCACCCCCCACCTTAGACAGAGGAACTTATTTGGAAGTCACTAAAGGAACCTCTGTTTCCTCCCTTCATTAATTACTCTTTGCTCTTGCAAGTTAGCTTTCTCTTTGTTAAATGGCCTAAAGGAGGCCAATTAAAATGCTGTCTTGTGATTTTTATTCTGTGGTGATTCAGCCTGTACCCAAACTTGTGATGACCTGCATAAGCCAATACTGAGGAGTTCCAACCATTATCAATCTGCTCATAGCAATGAGCCCTGATCCCTAAAGCCCCAAAGACCTTTGTTCTCTAGCCTGGAACACTGGAGAATAAATGACCAAATGCAACAGAGAGATCTGGTGCCCCAAATTATGTCACCTGTTCTTCCATCTTTCTCCTTCACATCCACCCACCTCACCTTTTCCCTATGAAGTGTCTTCTTCACCTAAAGTCTCAGGGAGAAAGGGCTAGGCATTCCTGCATTCTCAAACAAGACCTTGGATTGAGTTTCACTGTAAAAACAATGTTGTATAGTGGTTAACTGTTGCTGAAATATATAGCTCCATACTTGAGGAACTTTGTGGCTTATGTGGCTGACCTGAAGTCTCAATGAATTCTCAATTCCCAGCAGCCAACTTCAAAGCAGACGTTTGAACTACTTTGGCTTTAGTTAGGAATTGTCTGTAGTCTCCCTCATAAATGGAAGTGGTCCGGGTAGTTTAAATGAATCGCCTCTCCAAGGGCTGAAACCTAAAAGTTTCTTATTTTGATTAAGGCTCAGGTTCTTGAAATAATATTCATCTCCTTGGTACATGGGGGAAAGTGTGTGTGTGTGTGTGTGTGTGTGTGTGTGTGTGTGTGTGTGTGTGTCTAAACACTTACGTGTATTACAAGTACATAGGAATACGTGTTGACGAGATTTGGGGTGGAGAAGAGAGAAGAAAAGGAAAGGGAAGAGAGGATAACATAATGTTACACAAGACTCTGGGGACATCACCGTCAGAGAAAGGGGAAGCTACAAGACAGTTCCAAGTAGGGCTGTCTCACAGTCAAATGTCTGGGTTTAGATTAAGATTCTAGTGCTTACTCGCTATGTAATAATGAGCAACTTACTAGAGGCCTCAAAGTCTCATTTCTCCCTTTTGACTTGCATGCAAGGACTGCTGTTGGTATTGACTGAGATAAAGAATGTGACAAGATGGCTCAATGACTCTCAACTATTATTGTTTGGTTTGAGAGAGAGAAATTGGAGGCTTTACCATTACAACTTTACTTCCTCCTAAAGCTGTCTTCCAAATAATTAAATTTTTTGTTTCCAAATGAAATGAGTTTGATTTTCTGTGATTGACAGTGAATCCTGACCAAGTTCATAGAGTCACTGCACATGGCGGATCCTGCCAACTGTTCCCAGTGTAACACACCCATGCATTATGGTCCAGAGGAGAGTGTGGCTGAGAACATGGGCATTTTGTGTGGGGGTTTTTGCACTTGCCTTTCCCCAGGACAGACTCTCCAGAATGGATGCAGAAACTCATTCATCAGTCTTCAAAAAGACCATGGCTACTGTGGCTGCTACTTTCATTGCAGCCATATCTTGAAGGAATCCTATATAATAAAAGGCTAATATACAAATCAGCCGAACGGTGGAACAACCACGGGGTGTGGGCCTAAGCCATCAGATGGACATCCCCTGAGGGTTTCCGGACTGCGAGAGGGCAGAGGCCAGATTGAGGGACTCCCCCCAACACACACACCAGTGCACAAATGTCATGCATCGGGCCTCTAGTACAATATAAAAATAGTGAGTGATATTGATATGAGTTACATGTGGTAATAATTGTCAGTAAAGTCCATGTATTCTAGATACCACGTTTCTTCCCCATTCTTATTGACTTGATGATGCTAGGGCATTCTCTACTTAAGACCTATTACCTGTTTTTTCCAGCTTTCTGTTTTGCCCAGGCTTGGCTCACTCTTACCTTGTCACTGTTGATAAAGCAGCAAAAGCTTGTAACCCTTGCTGAGCTACAGCAGCTGATTCACACAAAGGGCCACTGGAGTCATTAGCAGGTGTTCGAAGTTTAATTGGCCTTTTGTGAGGGAACTGACCATTCTTTGGTTTGAATGGCTAAGGTCTTAGTTCTGTGAGGTATGACTTAGGACTTCAGTTGGCCACTTGAAAACTTAAGTTCTTTGATTTTAAAATAATACTATCCCCCTATTCAGTTAGGATCGCAAACCTACCTGAAAAGACTGTTTGTATGATAAATACACTGTTTTCAACCCCAAAGAGGAAATGTGTATTATATATTGAGTGTTTTCTATGAGTGTCATCCAGATAGATAAAGAAACAAAATAAAATAAAAGGCTAAAATCTGGAGATTTTGAAGTTAAAATATGATTCCTGCCTGAAATGCAGGTCAAGTTAAAGCCTTGTAAAATGTACTATGACATGAGATACGGTTAGTGGGTTTTATTCCACAGTTTCCATCTTTTTTGCCAAATGCTCTCAAGTTCTGCGTAGTTCATTGATTCTGTAGAAGATCATTCTGGTGCCCTAGAATGTGGTCTCTAATTGTTTCCATGTTTCATAACATGCCAGTGAGCACATGAATTGGTTTGGGCAACCACATGTAGAGGGGAAAAAGTTCGGAAAAAATGAAACATGGTAAGGGAGTAAAATATATACAGCTGGGAGTTCCACTCCAAGGTTGTTATTTGTGGGCAACTGGGAAACATGATTGGCAGTCTCACTTGAAGAATTGGAGTCTCCAAGGTGGTATTTGCCAAGGTGATTCCTGGCCCAGGAAGCTTTATTGTTTTGTTGATGATTGTCCACTTTTTTTTTCTTCCTTTATCTGCTTTTCACTACTTCTCCTCTGCTTTGTTTCCCATGTGAGGCACACAG